CCACACTTGCTGTATCTTGATTTATAGCATTTTAATTTGTTTATATTTTGGAAAGTTGTGGAAGTCAGGGGGTTATAGTCTGTCCAGAATATTTCCATCTCCCTAAATGCATTTTGAATGTCGTAGTCACTACTCATTGCTCTCCTACTCAACCTATGGAAACCGCCAATGTACTTTGCACCTGTATGCATTGGCCTACTTGCGACATTTCTTATAGTGGAGTCATTTACAATATGACTGAGAGTGAATCTTTTCAGTTATCATATCAACTTTGAGAAGCTTTTATCTATTTTTCTTGCATGTATCCATTCTGACAAATACCATCCCACTGGGTGGCTCTACAACATTCAGTTCTATTTATTCATCATACATTTGCAATGTTTCTACCGTCTGCTAGGAGTGTTCATGTACTTCTTTGTGCATGAATTTGTACTTTCAGTTATCCTGGCGACACTGGTGAATTCTGTGGCGTCCATGTCTAGCTTTCTGAGGACATGCCCAGCTCTTCTTCACAGACACTGAGCTCTTTCATATCCCCACCAGGAAGGTATTAGAGTCCCAGTCTTCCTGTATCCTTGCCAACATTTCTCATTGTCCATCTTTTGAATTATGACTATCCTAGTGTGTGAATGGGAACTCATTGTGGCTTTTGATTTGCATATCCCTAATGATTAATGGTGTTGAGCAGTTTTTTGTGTGCTTGTGGACTGGCTATATATCTTCTCTGGAGAAATGTCTGTTCATATATACAAGCATTTTTTTAGTGGCTGTATTTGCATGTTTAATGTTATTTATATAGACTCAGAAACTCTATCAGATATGTAGTTTTCAGACATATTCTTCCATCCTTTGTGTTTTCTATGACTTCCCTTGAAATGTAACGGTGTTTCATTTTGATGAGGACCAATTTATCTTTTATTCTCTTGTTGTATGTGTTTTGTAACACATGTAAGAAAGCTTTGTCTTGCCTAATTTCATGCAGATTTAAGTCTGTATGTTTCCTTAATTTTTTTTTTAGTTTGTTTAATGTGAAAGATGGAGATATCTTATATCTACTGGCTCACTCACCAATGCTTATAAAAGGTAGGGCTGAGGCATGCTGAAGCTCAGAGTCTGTGAGAAGTATGGACTCAAATACCTGAACCATCACCTGCTACCTCACAAGGTGCTTCCTATCAGGAAGCTGGATTGGAAGCAGAGGACCTGGAGCTCAAACCAGGCACCCTAGCTGGGATGTGGACATCCTAACCAACAAATTAACGTCTGTGTGATACGCTCATCCAAGTCTACATATATTCTTCTAAGAGCTGTGTAATTCCCTTCCCTTCCCTTCCCTTCCCTTCCCTGCCCTGCCCTGCCCTTCCCTGCCCTGCCCTGCCCTGCCCTTCCCTGCCCTTCTCTTCCTTTACCTTCCCTTCCCTTCCTCCCCCTCCCCTCCCCCTCTCTTCTCCCCTCCCTTCCCCTCCCCTTTGCCAAAATGTCATCCCTACCAAATGCCTTTTCTGTCAATGGGATGCAATGCTTGCTGGAATTTTCCCTTTTATGCTGTGAAGTACTGTCTTTAAAATACTTTGGGATAAGGGAGAGTGATGTCAAACACTCCTGTGTTTATGATCTCAATTAATTTTGCATCTTGACGTAACCTAGCATTCCTAGCTTGCAACTCACATTTCTAAGTGCCGTAAGCCCTTCACTAGGTTATGTGCATTCATTCATCTGTACGCTGCTGTGTTCTGTGTCGGTGTTTCTAATGCACATTAGGACATACAGTGTTTTCGGGTTTATTATCAGAGAAATACTGACCCAAGGGTGGGTGTGAATTTAGAGGTCTTTTTTCTTATTCTATTTTTCTGAAAAATTTTAGAAGGACTGATGTTAATTCTTTAAATGTTTGGTAGGACTCACCAGTGAGGAAAACTGAGCTGTGATTTTCTTTGTGGGAGTTTTTGGTCGTATGTAGTTTAGCTGCTTTAGTTGTTATATGTGTATTTATACTCTATATTTGATTCTTTATGTCTTCCTAGTAATTTTTCTATTTCATCCAGGTTATCTGATGTGCTAAGCATCTAATTCTCTATATTTATCTCTTGCAATCCCTTTTATGTCTAAGACTGTAGTAATAGCCCTTCCTTCATTCCCAATTTTAATTATTTGACATGTCTCTTTTTGCTATCTCTTATTAGGTAGACACTTATTATTATTATTATTATCTTTTCAAAGAGCCAACTACTAGTTTCATAGATGGGATTATTTTTCCTATCCTCTTATTTATTTCTGCTGTAATTGTTATTTCCTCCCTTTGACTTTATCCTGTCTCTCAGGGTGGGAGCGTTATATTTACTCTTCATCTTCCTTCTGGTTCTAATATGGGCAATCTGCAGCTGTAATTTCCTTCTAAGCTGTGATCTCACCCCTTAATTTCTGACATCCTCTCATTTTCACTCCTCTGAAAACATTTCCTCATTTCACTTATAATTTTTACTCAATCATTAAGTTACTGTGAAAGGTGAAAAATGTATACAGTGTGAAGAGAAACCAGAGTATATCTAGAGAAGGAGGATTCCCAATCTAATTACTAAACGTCTCTTGGGAATAGAATGTTAAACTTCTGCCTTTTTTTACACCTACAATGTCATGATACACTTAAATAGCAGAATATTGGAGTTGTGACTATTGATGAAGGACTGTTATTGTAATAATATGGGGGAACAGTGCAGGAGAATAGAGTGGCAGGGGAAATCCCTGTGCCTATGGAGCTATATCATGAAAACAAAACAAAATTTAAATGGAATGCATAGTTTAACATACAGTTTAAAATTGTGAATTTCAAAAACATGGAAGCAACCGTAATGCCCATCAGCAGAAGATTGGATAAGAAAGCTTTGGTTCATCTACTCCATGGGATACTACTCAGCTATTAAAAAAAACAAAATGCAGTTCTTTGTGGCTAAATGGGCCCAACTGGAAACTATAATGCTAAGGGAAATGAGCGAATCCCAAAAGGTTAGATACCACATGTTTGCCTTGATTTAACCTGTAATTTTTGTTTGGTTGTTTGTTACTTCTTGAACCTGTCGTTGATACTGTCTCAACCCAGGTGTTTTGAAGAATTGAACTTGCATTATTTTTAACATATTGTTTACTCAATACTATGTCAATTAATTCTATAACATTGTATATTGATGCTGATGTTTTGTTGGGGCTTTTAACTGACCGGAACTTTACTCTGTTAGCTCTACCTTCAGACCAGAGAAGGTCTCCCCAAGAAGCCACTGAACTTATCTGGACAATAAGATGCTGGACTTTATGCTAGGTATATGCTTGCAATGAAGGAATCTCAACTGAACTTGAACTGTGGTTATACAGCAAGGTGGAGGAATCCACTATGGGGGGAGGGTTGTGGGAGGGGTGGGGGGAATTCCAGTGCCTATAAAACTGTATCACATAATACAATGTTAATAACAATTAAAAAAAATAAATAAAACTTAAAAAAATAAAAATAAAATAAAATTGTGAATTTCCCAATATTTTCTCCTGTCATTAATTTCTAATTTAATTCCATCATATCTGGAGACTGTATTTTGTGAGATTTCAATTCTCTTCAATCTCTTGAGACTTGTTCTATGGTCTAACACATAACGTTTTCCGGAGATTATTCCACGTGCTACGCCATTGGGTACATTAGTCTATACATGTAAGTCTAGTTGGTTCATAGTCTATTCAAATCTTGTGTTTCCTCGTTGGTCTTTTGTCTGCTTCTTCTGTGCATTACTGAAGTCTTAAAAACTATTGTTGAAAATGTTTAGTTTTTAAAAAATTCTAACTTACCTTGTGTATTTTGGGACAACCTCTTGTTAGATACATGCACATTTGTCATTTAGTTCTTCATGTATTGGCCCTTTTATAATTATAGATATTGTCTTTTTGCCTCTAATATCATTTCTTGAACTTAATATTTTAATTTTTGAGACAATTAATTTTTAAAATTATGTTGTAGTTAATGATTAATGCACCACTAAATAGTTTAACAAATGAAAACATCCTAGTTCAGCAAGAAAATGGGCAAAGTCTATAAACAACAATCAAAAGAAAAAGATGTTCAGCTCCTCTAGTGGCAGGTGTAAGGATATTGAGTGTGAAACAGATGTTCCGCTGCTTTTGTGTGTGTGTGCGTATCCATAGTTCAGGCTGCAGTGTCACTGTGTTTATCCTATTGTGTGTATTTCTTGAAGCTAACATGTGGTTGTGCCACTTTTAAAAGCTTCCTTTTAGCAATCTATGCCTTTGATTGGTATGTTTAGCGCATTCTCATTTAGTGTAATGACTAATAAGGTGGCAGATCTGAAGCTCTGGTCTCCACCTCAAGGTTTGTTGTCATTGCTTTGTAAATTTCCTGAACTAATTCTGTAATATGTCTATGCTATTTGTTGCATCTGGTCACTGAAGTCTTAGCTCACTTAGGTTTACCAATAGTCAAGAAATTAATGGACTGAAATTTCTTTGAACCAGTGATTACTCAGCGCTAACCTGGGGCCCTGTGTCCATGGTGGGACACAGCTTCAGCACACCAGGGGAAAGATTGCTAACTTCTGGTAGCTTTTATCTGCTGTGTCTCTGGGCCTGTCAGAGATGAAATTTTAAGGCCATTCCAAGCTTTTACTAAGCCTGCACACAGTTTGGCATGTGCACACAATCTCGAGTCCCAGGAATATGTCAGATTTTTTTTTTCAGTCTCTGCCTACACTTTACTCAGATTTTTGTTATCAGTTTGCCATTTGCCTCCACTCTTTCTCTGCCTCAGTCAGCCATAACACTAAGTGATTTCTAGTAATTGTTTTTTAGACAAAGTCCTGGGGAAGAGACTGTTTGCTGAGGGCTGGCTCTTAGTGTCAAGTAACAACAAGCCCTCAAAGTCAGGGTTCTCATGGTGCTGGTGGACAGATCCAGCAGGGCGGCTCTCTAGGCTTGGGGTAACTCCAGACCCTTTCTTCACTGTCTAGGGAATCCCAAGGGGCTGACTGTTACGGCTACTGCGGGTGGAAGGCATGCAGAGCTGGAAATGAAAGGACAAAGACGGAGAAAGTGAAAGTGCCTCCGAGCTTGCAGACCAAGATCCAGCTGCTCTTGTGGAATAAGCACTCCTCAGGCGGTTGCAGTCCTGGATCATCGTCGCAAAGGTGAGCATGCTCATTTTGTTCCCTCTGTCAGTGTTCTCAGTGAATTTCAAAGGTCTTTCTCCTCCGTCCCAGCAATGCCTCTCCTTTGTTGACGTATTTCATTTTATTTTTACTAACTCACTCTACGTATTTTCCAATGCTTTTTAAAAATCTTTTTCTATTTCAACTGAAAAGAAACTATTAAATACAATAGGTGTTGTATTGGGATATTGAGTAAAGAGATCCTCGAAAGAGTCCCTACAGCAAAGGAAAAAGCAGACGCCCGTTTAAGGACAAGCAGGTTTGGCCTGGATTTCCAGCCGTAGGACTCACAGTTTTGATATTTGATTAATTGTTAATTTGTGCCAAAAGCAGTGCTGAATACTGTGCCATAGAAATCATGTTTTTCTTCACACAGCTGTAAATTTTATTTTCCAGGTATTCTTCCATTTGAATTTAGAGGGCCCTTCTGCCTGAGCATGCACAGGGAGACTCAAGCTCATTCTTTGTTAAACGATGGTATTGCTGTTACAATAATCACATTAAGAGACAAATGAAAGCAAAAGCTATTTAGTAATGGGAGTTAAGATTGCAACATAAATTTTCAAAGAATACTGCTCTATTATTTCTGCATTCTAGCAGTAATATGAAAACCCATATACCATTATGCATGAGGATTCAATCTAATTAAAACGTCAATGGGAGTCCTCATGCCGTGTATTATGTTAGCCATAAATGACAATCAGAGGTGCCAGGAAAGTCATTCTCTGTCCCTTTTGCATATGTTAAAGCACATAATGAGGGAGAGCTGAAGATGGAGCTGATGTACTTGATTCCAAATTGCTTTACTATTATATGCATTTATTGGGGAGTTGGGGGTTATACCTTTGTATCTTGAGGAGTAGTTGCCACGAGAGAAATTAAATTATTTATTCACTATTTTTATGTACATAGGTGGAGAAAAATGCTCTACATGTCTGTTGGGATGTCACCATTTTAATTAAAAATATTTTGGTAAAATGTTAGGTCTACTGTAATTAGTCGTGTGTTAATTTAATTAATAGTATGTTAATAGTAAAAAATAGTAAGTCATATTATTGTAATTAACACTGTGATGAAATAATCCTTGCTTTGTGATTTCTTAAAAATTAGGAAACATTTGTCCAGAGTAATTAGATGCCTTTTTACTTTAAGGTAAATTGTCATACTAAAAATAAAAATGCTTAGCAGTACCTCCAAGTTGCAAATAGGATGCGCTTCAGGAATTTGTATCTTCACTGTTTTCTGTGAGACCCGCTGTGAGCACCTGCTCTGTGGGATCCAGGCACAGGGAGTGTAATGGCTAACCATGCCGCTCCATCTGTATCAAAGTTTGATATTTTGGAAGAAGCAGCAGAGGAAACCAGAGCATTGCACTACCTGATGGCTTCTTTGGGGGAGGCAAACCAAAAATTATCAATATGAAGGGTTGAAAAGAAAATATAGTAGAGATTTCTGTAGGGAAAAAAAAACCCAGACAGGAAAAGTGGAACATAGGAAGTTAGAGATAAGTGTAGATGTGCTACTTAGAATTCAGTTTGGAGTTCCAAAAATGAACTTTTAAAGAGGAATATAATACGAACCATAGTAGTCACATTAAAAATACAAAACAAGAAAATGGTGAAATAATTGCAAAAGCATGCTTTATTGAGCCAAGTACAGTTGACCTTCTGGATACCTAAGATTTCATGCAAATTTTTAATAATTTAGAATAAAGTTGCACCTGTACTAAACATGCACAGACTTTTCTTGTGAACAGCCCCTAAAAATACAATGTGACAATTGTTTTTATAGCATTCACATTATATTTAAAGTTTTCTAATAACTGAAGGTCCTCTTTATAATCCAAAAATGAGTTAAGGGAAATAAAACAACACCTAAAATTTAGCTGCTCATTCAAACTGGCCACATTGCAAGTGGCACTGGACACGAGTGGAAACTTGCATAAGTCTCTGGCTTGAACCAGCAAGGTGTTTGATCAACTACAGGTATTTGGTAAGATTTGGTTGAAGTGGATTAAATGAGAAGCCCAGCCTGGTTCACCAACATGTGTAACAGCTCTTAGCTAATCAAAGATGGTGAGTATAAATTCGACCCAGGCTTCTTGACATCTAGTAACATGATGAAAAAAGGTCCAATGTTGACCTCCAGAAAACAAATTTCAGGAATTTGGATAGCAAAGGATGCTCTGAATACATGTCTAGGTCCATTTGGTACTTGAGATGGAAAGAGGGAAGCAGCAATAGGAAGAGTTGGCATAGCAAAGGGTATCTGCATTCCTACAAGTCAAAGCTATGACGGCAACAGCAATAGGAAAACAAAGGAACAGTAGCCTCTTACCCGTAGGGAGACTCTGATTCAAAAGCCTGGACTGAAGCCTCTTTTTCCAAAATGAAGTCTGTTGGCGGTGTGCAAAAGTTGTCAGCTAAGTACAGTGTCAGGGTTGGAGTGCAAGCAAGTGACATCGGGAGAGGCAGCATATTGGCTTGTGTCGCTCCCTTAAAGTGTGTTAGCTTCCCTGGGAACAAGGAGTGGATCTTTTCCTATTCTCAGCTGAGAGAGCTGGACAAGACCACTAGTGGACTGAGAATCCTTCCTGGGGAAGAATATTATTAGATAAAAGAATTAGTTGAATCAGGAGGTTTACTTTATCCTTTCTTTATTGAAAAAGTTGATTCAATTCACCTTATCGAGAGCTCCTCTCTTTAAATTTTTTAGAGGTGATGAGGGAAAAACAATCGAGGAATACAATATTGTTGGCTAGAAAGAAACCTATTTTTTTTCTCGGTTTGATTAGAGTATTAATGATCACCGCAATTTGAAGGGTAACAGTGGTAAGACACTATATTATATTGTTTTAAAATATTATTTATTTGGAAGGCAGAATTACAGAGAAAGTAGGACATGCACACACACACACACACACACAAGGGTGAGAGTGCAGATTTCATCTGAATCACTCCCCTAAACACTGCCACAGCCAGGGCTAGGCCAGGCTGAAGCAAAAGACTGGGAATACCATCCATATCTCAATGTGGGTGGCAGGGCTCCAGCACTTTTATGCCATCTTCCACTGCTTTGTCAGGCACATAAGCAGGAAACTGGATTGGAAGCAGAACAGCCAGGAGTGAAACAAGGTTCATATGAGATGCTGATATTGCAACAAGTTGCTCCATTTTATTTAATGTTTCTATGTACATATATTTAAAATTTATATATAATATATACTTATTATATATAATTTATATACATATTTAAATTTTATTTATTTTGAAAGAGTTACAGAGAAAGAAGAGGGAGAAGGAAGGAGGGAAGAAAAGAGGCAGAGACAGACAGACACACACACACACACACACACACACAGAGAATCTGCTGGTTTTCTTCCCAGGTGGCCGCAGTGGCCAGGGAGGGTCAGATTAAGAGCCAGGATCCAGGAACTTCTTCCATTCTCCATCATGTGTGGCAGGGGCCCAAAAACTTGACCTGTGTTCTGCTTCCCGCATGTTAGCAGGAGGTTGATTCAGAAGTGGAGCAGTTGGAACACAAACTGGTGCTGACATGGGATGCCAGCATCACAGGTGGCAGCTTTACCCACTACACCACAAGGCCAGTCCCAAACCACTGAATTTGAAAGAAAACCAGATTGTTTGGAAAGAGTTGACTAGTGTAAATCCCATCAAACTTTTAAAAAAAAAGGAATGAAAAGTTTCCTGATTCATATTTATTTAGTAAGTCAATTCTTGCAATTTTACAATTTGGGAGAAATGTTACCATGCCATAGATCAACACATTGACAAACAAGCCGGGACAAAGCTGATCACTGCCAAAGTAGATGCGTGTTCATCCTGTCTCTTTCAGAGTGGGCACAAACAGGAACCTCCAACGCTTGTCCCTGTGGAGCCATGGACAAGGACCCATCCACTATGTAATCACATTCTTCCCAGTATGTACCTGCTATGGGGAATGTCTCACATAAATTTGGCCTCCTAATATACAATTTTGATAGGGGAAATGGTAGTGAGTTTTTAAGGAAACTCTATATAAAAAAGAAAAGATATAAGAATCAAGATGGCAGAATAGGGTAAGAACATGTTTAAATAGAGGGAGAAACATTAGCCAGTGTGAAACAGAGATGGCACATTCCAGGAAATAGAAGAGGACAGAATGTCAGCAGAGGGGTACCTGAAGACTGAGACATGGGAAAGCAGTGGACACAATGGTGCATTGCTACATTGACCAGATACCCCAGCGGCATTCAGCTAGTGCAGATCTGAATTACAGTGACATCCAGGACTCCCCCAGCAACAAGGTGGGAAGGAACATCCACTGAGGAACCTCAGGAGATCAACCCAGAAAAAGAACTGTTCATCCTGCTGGTTTGTTTGATTTGCCCAGGAGCAGAGACAGAGCAGAAGGTCCTAGGCAGGTGTTGTGGGAACAGGGTGGATTTCACAGCCCAGTCTGTGCCCTAGGGCTGATAGGGCATGATTTTGTTTAAGGAGAGCAAAAGTATGGGACAGTACTGCAGATACACTGAGCTGGGAGTTCAGTGAACTGCAACAATGTGGCATTCCACAGGTCCCACCCAAAATAGGTGCGGGCAGCCCTCAGACCTGACAGCCAGCAGATCAAGAACTCTAGTAGTGCCACATCAGGTGTCATTTTCTACAGTATGGCAAGGTTTAAACAGTGCAGGAACAACAGTGAGTTGTGCATGTGCTGAGCTGGGAGTGAACTCACTGAGCTCATTGCATTGCACTGGTCCCACAAGGTAAAATAATACTGATGTTGGCATCGTATGGGTCAAAACAGGTTCATGTGATCCTCAAACCTAACAGCCAAAAGATTCAGAAAGATCAGCACCACCAACAACCTACATATTTGGGCACCTGGTTTCTCCCTAATCTTAGAAACTGCTCTAACAGGAAGTGGGAGAATGGTTGTACAGACAATGGTCCAGACTCAGTTCAGTACCAGGAGGTGGAGACTGGTGAACCAGGAACGGGGGCTACAGAGACCATAGTGGAAGTCTAACATAAGAACCCAGACCCGGAACTCGCTGGAGGGAGTGGCACAAGTGACTGCAAACAAACAGCCATTTACCAACCACAATAAGTAAAATTGAATTGTAGGCCTGTGGGTGACACAGTTTAGGAACCTGCTCCAAGGAGAAGACTCTGCTAACAAGAAGTACAATGACCAAGAGCAAAAGAAGACACAAAGGCACAATGAATATTACTGCAAAGAACCACAAGTCTTTGCCAACCTCAGAGTTAACTGAGGAAGACATCAAGAAAATCTGGGAAACAGAATTAAAAACACTTGTAATAAAGCTTCTTATCAACAATGAGAAGTACGTAATACAAGACTTCAAGAAATTTAAGAAATATGTCACACAGGAAATGAATCAAATGAAACCTGATATATCAGAAATGAAGAATACAGTGGAGCAAATTAAAAGTACAGTGGAAAGTCTTCATAATAGAATGAATGAAGCAAAAGAAAGAATGTCAGAATTGGAAGATATTTTCTGTCACCAGGTGAAAGCTGGAAGAACTGGGTCAAGCTAAAAAAAGTATTCACAAATTGAAAGACACTATTTAAAGGTCAAATATAAGAGTTATGGGAGTCCCAGAAGGAGCATAAAGAGAAGCTGGGCTTAAAGATGTATTTAATGAAATAATAAGGGAAAATTTCCCTAATCTAGAGAAAGAATTGGGAAACAATATCCACGAGGGGCACAGAATTCCCAACAGACTTGATCAAAAGCGATCTTCACCAAGACACACGATTATCAAGCTCTATCCAATTGAATATAAGGAAAAGATCCTTAAATGTGCATGTGAAAAAAAAACAACTGACATATAAAGGAATGGCCATTTAAACTCACAGGAGATCTCTCACAGAAAACTCTACAGGCAAAAATAGAATGGAGTGACACATTCCAGGTTCTAAAAGAAAAAAAATTGTAGCCTAGGATAATGTACCCAGCAAAACTTTCCTTTGTCTTTGAAAATGAAATAAAATTCTTCCACAGTAAAGAAAAGTTCAAAGAATATGCCTCTTCCAAACCTGCCCTACAAATGATACTTCAAGATGTTCTCTTGACAGAGAACAGGAATAGCACCTACCAAAACCAAGGGCAAATGTGAAGAATATCCCAATACAATAATAACAAAAGACTAAATCAATGTACAACCTATTGTTAAAATGGAAGGAAAAAATTACCACCCATTCATATTAACCCTGAATGTAAGTGGCTTTAACTCTTCAATCAAACATCATAGATTAGCAGAATGGATTTCAAAAACAAAATCCATCTATTTGTTGCCTATAGGAGGTATGTCTCACCCACAAAAATCTGCAAAAATTATATCTCATGGATTTTGATTTTTTGTTAGTTTCATATCTTCAAAAACACTTTCTTATTAATTCTCGATTGACTCACAGAGCAGACAGTAGCATCAGTTTCTTCAACAAGGTTGATTTTCTTGTTCATTTCTTCAGTGACACTTTGGTCATTCAGTAGCAAGTGATTTAACTTTTTGACATTGTCAATTCATGTTTTTCCTTCCTGTTATTGATTTTGTTTCGTGCCTTTTCATTTAAGCGGATGTACAGTAACTGTGTAATGGAGACCAACATATGCAGATGTGAGGATACAATACAGTATGCATCTCTACTTCCAGATCAAAAATGGACTCCCAATGAAACTAGTAAGTATAACTTGACAACAGGATCCTGGACTCTCTGCCATTGTCCATGCCTGCATTGATGAACACATGACTGTTTATAAAGAACTGTACTATAGTAATAATATAGGGGAACTCGCTGGGGAAAGGGATTTGAGGAGAAGTAAGGGAAATCCCAGGGCCTCTGGAACTGCATTATAAAAAGATAATGATAATTACAAAAGAAATAAACAAATATAGTTTTCAGTACATGATCACTTTGACTAGCTGAAATTGAGAAGAAAGCATACACTCAAAATGTCTAAATTATATGGGCTACTGGAGCCTTACACTCCGTTCTAACAGACACAGGTGAGTGTATACAGTAACTGGTGGGACTAGTGATGGAAAGAGGGTTGTGTGAGTACTCTGCAGCAGCTGTGATGTTTGTAAGCATCCTCAGTCTGTTCTTTTTTCCTCCCCTAAAACAAGAGATTTCTTTCACCAACTTTTTAATGAGTATTTTGATTTCTACCATTAGCTAAAAATAACTGAATTACATGTACTTAAATAGCTGGCTTTTATTGTGATAAAACAGTATTACCCCTTATACTTGTTTATTTCAAGGACACTTAGGCAAAAATTATTCAAAGTATAAATAGAACAAATTTGCTGATACAGTCTTAACAGGATAAAAATTGTGAAAAGTAAGATAGACTTGGGAAAGACGTTCTGATAATGCTTACCAAGGTAAAACTAGCCCACGAGGGAACTCCGAAAGGTGAGTCTGGGAATTTTGAGGAGGAAAGTCTAATTGCGATTATGGCTTACGTATTGGGGTAAGTCTGTCTTGTCTCTCTGTTGTGTCCTGACCCAGCCAGCACTGGTGGTCGGAGTGGAAGGCCAATGATGCTGGATGCGCCCTTCACTCATGCGGATGTGACCGAGGGAGCCAGTCCTTGAACAAACTTGATCAGGAGCCATCAGGCTTATGCACCTAGCAAGGAAGCTGTTAAACATGCTGAGACACACTGTTATTATATAGGTATTCCACCCTGTTACTGCACACGGCTATTGCAGTATCTGTTCTGAATACTAGTTTATGAAAAATATTTTATATTTATGAGAAACACAGAGAAAATAACACTGCATGTACAAAAATCTGCATTTATACACTGTATATTGAGAATCGAACTTCTGGCTATATTCTTTCTTTTAAAACTGCACATTGTTATTAGGCATAATCTCTACAACTTTGAAAAGCTGGACACTCCCAACTGTTCATTGGAGCAATTGGGCCTGAGACACAGTGTGTAAAATTATTCTTTAACAGAAAATAGATTTGAGTGAAACAAAACATTCCTTAACCAATCTATTCAAGGAAGTATTCCATGTAAATGAAAATTCTTGATAACTAAAATTTTCCCTATGAAATAAAATTTTAAGCGATGTTTGAATTCATTCACTCTAATTTGTGTTAGATATCAACTTAACAAGGTGCTCATACTCCAAGCTTTTCTATGATGACTTATGAAAGCATATGGAGGATGCCAATGCAATGCAATGGTACTCTTAGTATGGTGTGTTTTAAAGTGTGGCACGGGGCCTGGCCTGGTAGCTAAGTCCTTGCCTTGCACACTCTGGGATCCCACATGGGTGCCAGTTTGTGTCCTGGCTGCTCCACTTCCCATCCACCTCCCTGCTTGTAGCCTGGGAAAGCAGTAGAAGATGGCCCAAAGCCTTGGGACCCTGCATCCACTTGGGAGACCGAGAAAAAGCTCCTGCCTCCTAGTTCCTGATAAGCTTTGCTCCAACCACTGTGACTACTTGGAGAGTGAACCAGTGAACAGAAGATCTTTCTGTCTCTCTTTTCTTTGATTCTGACTTTCCGTTAAAAATAAATAAATCTCTTTTTCAAAAGCAAGTTTGACACACATAACTACCTGGAGCTTGTCAGTGACACATGTTCTCAGTACAGCTGCATCTCTAACAAGGCTTGTACCTGACTTGTGCACAGTCAGCGAAATCCCACTTCGAGAGATCCTGCATTGTGAGCATTACTTCGAAGGTATCATTGAGCTCTCACTGGCAGGCATTCTTCTTCACCCATCCATGAATTACTTGATTCAACACTTTAGTGCCTTGCCTATCCTCCCCTCAACCCCAACACACACACACACACACACACACACAGGCACACACACACACACACACACACACACACACACACACACACACACATTTTTCTGATTC